TTTATAACAGTTTAATTAAATCTTTCACATGATATTAGTATTAAAAATAAAATTTATTTTTATAATTTTTTATATAAATTAATAATAAAAAAAATGCACTCTTATTCTTTAGAGATCAGGCACATAGTATATATACCCTGTTATTCGAAGCAAACCGCGTCCCGATGAAAACAATGGGTATACTGCACTCCTATATACAGTCCATGCAGAGACCATCATAAACCAATTGAAGTAAAACAAATCAATATCACTAACAATATTAGAAAGGACCAAGATGAGTAATTAGGAAATTTGATTTCCATGAAGTTCGAATTTTATTATATTTTCAGATAAAATATTTGTCTAATGTATTAATTTAATGGCCAAAGCTCCTATTTGCACATTTCATTTATTTTATTTTCGCGGTCAATACCTTTCAAAATTTTTTCTCCCTATTCACGCTCTCCACTTTTCAAAACTTGTAAAAAATTCAATATTTTAACGAGTCGTCACGGTACCGTTAAAAAATGCAATATGTGCATCCAAATCATGACGTGGACGTTATATAACGTGATTAATCCAATGTGAACGATTTTTTGATGATGCAGCATGATGAGGTGGTATGATTTTCTGTGAATACCTCCCAACCAAAGAAAAAAAGAAGAAGAAGAAATTAAATGAATTAAAACATAATTAACTTTAATTTTTCACCTTCTTCTTTCCCGTCATCCTTGACACCATCTTCATTGTCCTCTTCATCATCCTCCTGGGTTTTACAAGGAACCCAAGTTTTGGGGTTCCATGAACCCAAAGCTGGATTCGACGAACCCAGAGCTAGGTTCCTTGTGGAAGCCAGCCTCCATGGAAGATAGAAAAAGATTTCACCCATGGTTCTAATGGAGGTTGATTTAGATTGAAAAAAAAAGCCGAACAATCTTTTAATTCATTTGCAAGAAAAGTTGAGAACCAATCAAAGAATTAAATCATCATCTTATTATTCTATCAAAACCAGAAACAATCATAGAAAAGAAAGGTGAAAGAAAGGTACAAACTGGGTTCTTCACGAACCCAGCTCTGTGGAACCCAGAGCTAGGTTCGGCAAAAAAAACCTAGCCGCAAGCCCCCCCCCCTTAGACTCCAATCTTCATCATCCCATCATCATTGATCATCATTGATCATCACTCTCATCACCATCACCCTCATCAATCCCCAAGCAACCAAAAAAAAAAAAAAAGTCTTCTTCTCCCAACTTCTCTCCAGCCCCCCTCAGATTTCCATCTTCCCACCATCTTTGCCAATCATTACTCTCATCACCTTCACCAATCATCAAACAGCCACCATAAAAGATCAAAAACAAAAGAACAGAAATTCATAAAAATCACTTCCCAAATCTGTAAAAAAAAAAATAAAAAATTCAAACTCCTACATCTCTTTCTTCGACGTTGATCTTGATGTTGAAATCGAACGTGTAAATCCTTTGAATCTTGGAATCCAAGGGTTAGGGCGACTTGGTTTGTGGAACCTAGTTTTTGGGTTCCATGAGGAACCCAGAATTCCTTGTGGAACCCAGAATCTGGGTTCCTCGCAGGGAACCCATTGAGAAGGGAAGAAGAGGATGGTGATGATGATGCCGAGTATGAGGGCGAAAGAAAAAGATGAAGAAATGCCATATTATATAAAAAAAAAAATCTCACTGTACACGTGGCATCCACTTGTGTAAAAAATTATATCATGTCATCAAAAAAGAGTCCACATTGGATTACTAATGCCATATAGTGCCACGTAGTGTATTTTTTAACGGTATTGTGACGGCCCGTTAAAATATTTGGTTTTTCACAGGTTTTAAAAAATTGAGGGTATGAATAGAGAGAAAAAATTTTGGAAGGTGTTGACCGCAAAAAAAAACTAAATGGAGGGTGCAAATAGGGGTTTTGGCCTAATTTAATTAGACAAACTTTTTCTTTTCTCTTCATTTTTCTCAAATCAAACACAAAAAATTTAATTCTAACTAATTTACTAGCTAAAGTTTAAAATTTAAGATATATAAATGATAAATTAATTTTTTTTTATAAATTTTCTTTAAATTTTAACTCCATAATATGGCTGTTATAATTTTTAAAAAATATTTTTAATATAGAGTCAATTTTTACTAACCAACCAGATCTTAAATATTGGTATAATATTTTAATTTAATTAGATGAAATTTTTTTCCTCTATTTCATTTTTTTCAAACTAGCCAACGCAACAGGCTCTAGTTCTGTCTAATTAGTTGGCTGCATATATAGGTTATTCAAATCCTTCATAAATTAATAGGGTAGTATTAGTTCTAAAAATTTATTATTAATAAATTGACTTTTTTTCATAATTAATTTACACTGTCAGTATATAATGCAATAGGGGATATGTAATTAACCCTTTTTCAGTGTTTCTCATTCAAACTAGTTTTTTCACATACCAAACCAACCTTAACATTCTCTCTCCAAAGTTCATCGATCTCCTTCTACCTTCCAGAGCCTCTCTCTTCTTGTTTTACTCTTCCATCTCTGTAGCTAATTTCCAGCAAATGTCTGCATCCGCTGCTTTCAGCTTTGAGCATTGACAAGTCAGCTAAAAGCAAAGGTATGCTTCTTAATCCCCGGCTATAGATAGCAACATTAAATATTTTTACTCAAATTTCATTTTACGTATGCTTTCTTTGGCTTTTTGTGATCTTTCGATGGATATATATCTTCATATCGTTATTTGTGTGTGTGTTTTTTCCTTTTTTTTTTTTTAATTATATTGAATAATCCCTCTATACATCAGTATATTGAACAAATCAGAGAGATAGTATTAGGTGAATTAATTAGTATTGTTTAAATATCTTAATTTAAAAACTTTTTATTGACTGTCTTTTAATTAATTCATTAAAGTGTTTAATTATTCCTAATTAGAGTTTTTCTTTAACTAATATATATGATGATTAAATTTTCTTTCCAGCTGACTGTTGTTTATCGTCTCTTTCAATCCAATGTCTCATTTGCTTCATTAGACTCTCTCTGCAAAACTCAACAACTCTTAGATTTGAACATCGAACACTGAGAAAGGAGAAACAGCTGCAGCCTACCTAATTAAGGCATGTATATATATACTGCTTTCTAATTATTCTTTGCTTCTTCAATTCTTTCAAGATCTAAATAATAGTTCTTTTATAAATGGTTCGAATATGTATCATCTTAATTCATTTATATCATCAGCACTAGTTACTCCATCTGGGTTGTGTGGTTCAGTGTTTGGACTAATTTAAATGACGGATTTCATATGAAGAAAGATTTCATATTTTATTTTTCTAATTAAAAGCACCTTCCATGTGTCGAAATTTAAGTATTTGATTTCAATACAACAGTTCGACTCTTACAAGACTATATGCTTTTCTTAAAATGCCTCGCCTTTTTAAATCCTCAATTTTTCTCTAATCAAACTATAACCTGTTATCCTCCTGGGCGAAAAATTAGAAAGAAACTCATTATTTAAGATAGACATTTGACATTTTTCCTTCATATTTTCTTCTTATAGTATATGAAAGCCCTTCTTAACCTTAATTTATCCAAACACAGCATCATAATATATACTTAGATTTATGTTGTTGTTTTCAATATAAACACGTGAAACTAATTAAATCAATCCGTTAGGATAAAAGAATAATTTGATGATAGTCAAGCATATGCAATGTATTCAATAGTCTACATTGTACTTGAATCCATTCCTCTCTCTTTTTTGCAGAAAACTTGTTTCATCCAATGGAGGCCTTATCTCTGTTGGAGGTTCTCTTTTATCTGCTACATTTGACTTGCTATTTGAAAAGTTGAATGGATATCTAAGTGATCAACTTCGGAATTCAAAGGAGGAAGTACTTGCGCAGGTGGAAAGCTGGAAGACTCTATTGCCCAAAATCATTGCTGTACTTCAACATGTGGAAGAAAATCATGTTGTCAACCAGTTTGTGAAGTCATCTCTTGATGATCTTAGAGACTTGGCTTCTGACATGGAGGACATACTTGAAGAGTTTGTGATTGATGCTAAGAGGTCTGAATTGATTGTAGAATCTGAAGCTAGACCTAGCAAGTGACAAAGAATCACCTCTAGTGTCAAGCGTTTTTTTGGCTCTAATATGGCTAAGCCCAATCAAGAGGTTAATTCCATGGTGAAGGATCTAAGTGGTAGATTGCAGAAAATTGATAATGGGATGCGTAGTTTGGACTTGATCAATTTGGCTTTGAAACTTGAAGATAAGTCTCACAAAGTAACTACAAAAAGACTACCCAAGTCCTCACTTCTTGAGGACAAGGTGTTGGGTCGAGATAGTGATAAAGATGCTATTCTTCAGAGGTTGCTAGAAGATGGGGGTAGTCTCGAGCAAGACTTTGTTATTCCCATCATCGGAATGGGTGGACTAGGCAAGACAACTCTTGTTCGGCTCATTTACAATGATGAAAAATTAGAAGGTAGGTTTGACTTGAAGGCATGGGTTTGTGTTGCTGATGTATTTGATGTTCCAAAAATAACACAAACCATTTTAGAACATTTAACTGGGGAAAGGTGTGACT